TTTTGCAGGTAGCAATAATGACACAAATGAGACATCCACGTATTGCACAAATTTATGATGCATTTTCAACACCAGAAAATGATATTGTATTGGTAATGGAAGTGTAAGTTTAAATTTTTTATTAACACTAAAAAAAGAAAAAAAGAAACAAAGTTATTTACACATTATTTTTGATGTATTCCAAGAGACCAGTTTAGCTGAATCATTAGGATTTTTTTTTTTTTTTTGCCAAGTTATAGCTGTTGGCCATGGCCAGGATTACAGAAAAAGTAAATCAGGTTTAAACAGCAGCAATGTTAAGGGCCAACAGGTGAGGGGGATGGATGGCGGACCAGGGGGAGGGGGGGGAGGAAGCGGAACTAAGAAGGAAGGAATATACATCCTTTTGTTTGGCATACAGACAAAATCTATTAAACAAGCAAAAAAAAAGCTATTGAATCAACAAAGTTTTTGCTTGAATTTTTTTTTTCTTTGCTATTTCCTATTTTATTTTGGTTCTAAAAAAAGAAGGTTTTTTTTTTTTCAACTATACAAGTCTAAAGTTCAAAGTTTTTTTTTTTTTACTGCGATTGAAAAGATTGTTCACGTGTTTTAACATTGAATTGTATGTACAACATGACCTGCTTTACAGGCTAAACTCTATTGATACAATTCAGCAACAAACTAAACATTGAATCTTTAATTTTGACCAATACAAATGAATTGTTGCGGTGCTTTAACTTTCTCTTTGACTGTTTTTTTTCTTTTCTCTTAAAAAAGTACAAATTTTTTTTTTCTGACGAATCTTTTGAACTGTATAATTTCAGTGTACCTGGTGGAGAGTTGTTTGATCGAGTGGTACAGGAAAACTATATTTTAACCGAAATGGCTGTTGTAATGATCATTTGTCAGCTATGCGAAGCAGTTGAATATATACATAGCAAACATATTGTACATTTAGATATCAAAGTAATTCTAACCCCTTTTTTCTTTAATGCATATTACAACTACAAATTTTAGTGTATTTTTACAGTGCATAGCAACTTCAGAAAAATTATATATCAACTTTACTGACTAAGTTTTTTTTTTTGCTCATGTCTGGTGAAAAAGCAATTTTGTCGCTGATAAAAGCAAGAAAAAAAAAGAAGAACTCTTCCTTAATTTAGGTACTTTGAACAAAGTATTTGCTAACGGTATCAAGCAGCAATGAAAAAAGGAATTTTTTTTTTGATAAATGCATAAATGAATTTCTGAAGCAGCCAAAGATTTCATCTCAAAACTTTTGATTCACAATCAAAAGTAATTATCCGCTGAATGCCCGCTAAAATTAAGCATACACCTTAGAAAACTTTTTTTTTTAAGTTTCTTGGAACCGTCAAACGTTTTTTGTAAGGCTTTGGAATGTTTTAAAAAGAACGGGATATTCCAACACCAACAAAATTGATTCACCATTGCAATAGAAATAGATTCTAATTAATGCATATTGCGCTATAATTTAAGAGGAAAAAAAAGACAATTAAATACATGTAATGTGTTTGGTTTAGCCTGAGAACATTATGTGTGTATCTCAAACCAGTAATCGGATAAAGCTAATCGACTTTGGATTAGCACAGTACTACGATGGTACGTCAAATTTACTGTTTATGGCCGGTACACCGGAATTTGTGGCACCTGAAGTAATCAAATTTGAACCAATTGATTTCCATACAGATATGTGGAGTATTGGTGTAATTACCTATATTCTGTAAGCAAATTTTAATTCCTCCAACTCTAAATTTATCTTCATTGGTTGCTTTTTGTCTTTTTACTTTTTTCTTTTTTAATATGGTAATTCAGAGTTTATGGCAACGTCGAAAGTTTCTGATTCTTACAGTTTGTCTGGAATTTCACCGTTTTTGGGTGATACCATTGGTGAAACGTATTGCGCAGTGGAAAAAGGCGATTGGGAGTTTGATGAAGAGTGCTTCGAAGGAATTTCTGAAGCAGCCAAAGATTTCATCTCAAAACTTTTGGTTTACGATCAAAAGTAATTATCCGCTAAATGCTTGCTAAATTTAAGCATACACCTTAATAGCCGTTTGTGTTACAACTTGAGGCGGGAGAAAAAGTACCATTATCCATTTCCGTCGTTATCTCTTGACGCCCTTTTATTTTTGAGTTTAGTGAAAAGGAACAAGATAAGGAGACGCACAAAAAGAAATTACAGGGAGAAGAGAAAACACTGTGACTCATAAGTCAGTTGGAGCAAAATTTAGGGTTATGGTAAAAGCTATAAACTTAAAGTGCTTAAATTTGTTTCACTGATAGAAGATTCTAAATGGGAACATCATTTATTTGCAGACAGAGAATGTTGCCAGCTGACTGCTTGCAACATGAATGGATTGTTCATGCTCGAGCTCGAGCCAGTTGTGAGTCGCCGGTCTGTAATCCAGATGAGGGCAAACCAATCTCCAAGGAATCGTTGCGTCACTATATTAAAAATCAAAGATTTCGGGTACGTGACGAGTGCCAGTGAAGCACATTGACGCTGTTTTCACTCATAAACGATAAAACAAAGAAGACAGTTGACAAAACAAAAACATTTGCTGCCATTTGAATAAAAAGAAAAAAAAAGAATTTTTAAAGTAACATTAGGAAATTCTTATTACTCAATATATATTATTTATGACGTTGATTCGGCGACAGAACAAACAACTGTTTAGACAGTGCTAAGCTGTCTCAAATATCACCGTAATTAAAATCGGCTCACTGATCTTCAGCAAACTAAATGTTAATATTCAAAAACAAGTATATGTACATATACAAATTTCTTCTATTTTTTTTCTAAATAAATTGCTAATCATCCTTTCAATGCCTTCTTTCGTTGATCTTTTTTTTTTTTTTGTCATAAATGTAATGTGATGATACATTGATGATGACGATGATGATGATAGAGACGACGGCGATGATTAACACAAATATATTTCAGCGGGCTACATGGGCTGTTTTATTCTTGATGCGTTTCCGGAAACATGGCCATATACAGTGGCCACTAGAAAGTACAGTGCGTAAGGAAAATAATACTGTTAAAAAACAAAAGCTACCGGCTATTAAAGAAACCACATCAGTTCAGCCAGATTCTACAGCAACAGCAGAATGTACGGTTATCGTCCGACGTTGGATTGTACCAAAAGAACAAACACGAAAAACTGAAATTGAAGTGGTAAATATAACACCGCCAAAAACAATTGATCGACCGAAAGATTTAAATGAAATACATCCGCAAGAAGAAACATCGGTAAACTTTTATACTTTTTCTCCTTTCTTGTTTATTTAACACCTTTCTTTATCTGACAAGTAGTATTGTGCATTTTGCATTAAAGACTATCCATACCGTTCCAAAGTTTTATACTTTTCTTTTGCTCCTCAAGAATAATTATTCTTTACTTACAATAACAGGCAAAGGAAAGAACTGTAACAAACCAAAGTCAAGACAGTCTCAAAAAAGAGAGAGCAAAAACGAAAAAGCGAACATCGCTGGCTAACTACGGCAGACTTGGCGCAAAAATAATCAACACACCTCGTGAACATGACAGCTGTTCATTTACCTACAATGAAGGCAGAGCCAAAGTTCACTTGAAGAAAAAATCCAAAATAGTTTCAGCACGAAAAACCTTCACAAAACCGGTAAAGGTAACTGTTCAACAAGCAATCAAACTTGATCGAAAAAGAAAAGAATTTCGATTTTGCTTACCCGGTCAAATCAAATCGGCAAGAGTTGTGCTGCAGATACGTCCAAAATGTTCAACAGCAACCTGTGTAAAACTCAGAGACCGGGTTGTGAAGCGTAGTCTTAAAACCCGTTCACTGATAATAACTAAAGAATCTAATGATTTGCCGAACAAGTTAGATTTCAATGAAAACGTTAAACCTATGGAGCAGAAGAAAGACGACAAATCTAAGCGCCCTCTTTCCTTACGGCTGAACGGTCTCAAAGATTTGGTAGACAAATGGGACGATGGTACAAACAGAAGCAGAGAGCAGGATGTTCTGAGTGGACAGAATGAAGAATCATTAGTGAAGAAGCAAACTTTAGATATCGCTAAATCAAGATGTGCCGTGAATAGCTCGAACAGTGAATCACCAATTGTAATTCAGCGGTCGCAGGTGAAAGACGTAACTGCTAAGCTGGAAACTGGTATAAAGCCAGAACGGCCAGTTAGTATCTTGCTAGCCGCGCAAAGATTGTCTGAGAAGGACGATGAGGCTCTGAGACCAAATAGACGACCAAAATTGGAGATATTCGATGACGAAACATTGGGGCAAAGTTATTTGAACAAAAAACCTTTGTCTGCTATTTCTCAAAAGGAAAATTTTGACGGACAGCAACAGTCTGCAAAGTTAGATTTAAGAGTCAGTAAGCTCGTTAAAGACAATACCTCAAAAGATACTGTAGTTCAACTAGGAAAAGACAAGGTGAATTCAGTTTTTACAAAAATGGATAATCGTGAAAAAACAGTTGCAAGCAAAGAGACTTTTTTGAGCAAACAAAAAACCGCGGATGAAAGTTTACTTCAAAAGCGAATAAAACAGTTGGAATCTAAAAGCCTTTCACCTGAAAATGAATCTGCCAGCAACAAGAACCAAGCAACCTCTATAAGCGACAAACCTTGGACGGAACGTTTATCATCACTACTGCAAACGCGTAACGGCTCCGCATTTAGCTCAACAACAGACAATAAGACATCAGAAATGCGAGAACCAAAAAGTGTAGTAAGCAAGAAATCAGATGAAGTTTCAAAGTACATTGAAAAATGTCAAAGAATCTTCAGACTTGCAGCTAACATGGAACCCTCGTGCAGTTGTACATTCGTTTATAACAGTTTTGGAAAATCCCGTAATAAAGCGGACGGTGTTCAGCTAAACATCAAAGAACCGCCAAAAAAGCGGTTATTAAACAACAAAGTGTCGACTAACTGTCCGGATACAAAACCAGTTTTACGAGGGAAGGAGGAAACACGAAATACATTATTGAAACCAAATGTGAAGGCAGCAGATGATAAGCGAAAATTCAATGTGTCAGATGAAGTTCTAACGGCAAGACTTGAATTGGATCGGCTAAATGGAACGACAAACCAGCCAAAGGCCAATGTTAAACAGCCATCGAAAAACGAAAATAACATGTTACAAAGTGCAGCTGGAAAGACTCAGTGGTCTATTGACAGATGTAAAACTGAGGTAAGCTAGTTAAGCCAACAAAAGTACCAATTATACTTTTGGTTGCTGCACAAATTAGATTTCCAGTTCTGTTAAAATGTTATAGTAGTCCCGTTAGGAAATATTTTTTGCGGTAACTGTTTTTTAGGGCATTAATAAAAGATAAATTGGCATGTAACCGGGTTGAAAGTAGAAGTTATTTGTTGTGATTTATGATTTTTTGGAGTTTAGTTACAAAATGATAACAAAAACACATAAACATACATTTGTTCGCAAGTCATTATTTTAATTATACAGTGATATTTGTAGGTTGCTACAACAAAAAAAGAGGAAAGTTCCACAAAAATAAGTTGGTTGAAGAGTAAGCTTAGCGCCAATCTACAGCCTGGCGGTAACGCCAACAGTGCATCATCGACTACTGGCAATAAAAACAGGGAAACAGACAAAAAAAAATACAAAAACTGATAGATAAGTCAACCGGAACGTCGACAACGGTTTCAGTAGTTCAAGTCGGATGATATTTGATGAAGAAATTGATGAATATCGGAATTTCAAGTTTATAACAGCCTTTTTATTGCTGTTTTTTATTCTTTTTCTTGCTATAGAAAGAAGCTCAGTAATTTTTATATGAAGTTTTGAAGGTTTATATCTGTTTATATTTGTCCAAAATATGAAACCAGTCTTTGTCGTTATTGCTTTTTTGTAGTGGTTTAGCCTAACACCACTATGCAAGAATTATCCAAATTGTTCTTCTTCGATGTTAAAGTGAAAAAGTTGAAAGTTTACTGCTTCTTTTCCAACTTAAAAAGAAAATTTCTATTTAATTTAGTTGAAATTATTGAAAGGCTTTGATTGTGTGTATATTAAATCACTTTCGATTGTTTGGATGAAAAATGAGGGCGAAGTGGAGATTAAGAATGGAGTTTAGGTGAGGAATATGACTGTGAAGACGAGTAAGTTAGGAAATGCTATAGTATTACTGTATTTTCATAATCTCATTTCAAATGCCGGTTTGCCATCATTTTGTTTCCTTTTTTGTTTCGCATTTTGTTTTATGTTTTCCACTATTCATCTGGATTATCCGGGTACTGTTGTGTGATCATTTGTTTGTTGTGATAAAGAACAATCTTCTTCTTTTGTACATGAAAAAAATTTTTTTTGTTTCCTGTTTAACTGTACAAAAATCTTTTTTGCTGTTTGATTAAATTGTTAACATCATTTGCCAAACAAATTTTCCTTTGCAGCTGTTTTTCTTCATCTTTTTTTTGTTAACTTTTTTCGTTTGTTTTTTCTTTTATTGCTTTGTTTTCTCTACATGACTTTTCCATTTTCCTCTTAATGTGTACCAATTGTAATCAACTCTGGAAGGTAGAAACAAACTCTTTATTTTTTTGAATATGCTTTGTAGCTCATATGCTTGGTATTTATGCGATTCATCTGATGTACCCTACTCGACCTAACAAACTAACCTCTAAAAATACTCGCTGCTTTCTTTCAATGAATTCATTGGACGCTAACGAATTTAAAAAGCAGCAATTGAAGTAGCGTTTTAGCTCAATTTGTAGGGTACTGCTTACTTTATTTCAAAAAGCCACGAATCCGTCTTAGTATTTAACGCGACTTTTTTTGACTTCACCAGGAACACTTTTTTGATACAGTATACATATATCAGAAAAAAGCAAACAAAAAAGTAATTGAAAGCCGTCTTCCTAATCCCAATTTCTGCTTGTTTTTTTGTTCGGTACCAGCAGTGTATTGTTACGAACAAACCGAAAATCAAAGTGTTTAATGTTGAAGAAAGACGAGAACAAACGATATAACCGAATTTATTAGTCAACGAAATAAAATATTTCACCATCTGAGCATATCTAATAAATACTATAAATTGCACTTCTTATACTTTTAAGTCCACGCAAAAAAAAACCTGTTAGTGTTAACTGGCAAAAAATGCCACTTAAGCAACACTTTTTCATTTTTTTCTTTTTGTCAAATATGAAAAGCATTGAACAAAAACAAACTCAAATGCGAACTTAGATACTTGCTATCAATAATTCCTGACAAGAATATTTCCTTCTCCCTTAAAACCGAAGGCGACAGTCTAAGAAGAGTAGCAATAAAACTGCAGAAAGCAACTAACGCTTCTGAAAAGATAAGCTACCTGCCACAAAAGAAGAAGTTGGTTCTACGCTTCACTAACTAACTATACATCAACAATTACAAATAAATATCATAAATGACAGCAGAAGAATT